CGAGCCGGGGGCGCCGATTTAATGTCGGCAAGCTACGGAGTAAGGCGGTGGCCGAGCATGATCAATCGGATTCCTGCGCATCCACGTTACAAGACGTCAACGATGTGGGACGTCGCCCCCCGCGCTGCGTGACCACCGCGGACAAGTATCGTGCCGCTTTATCTACTGGATTGCGAGATTGCTGGAGCAGCGATGGTAGCGTTGGGGAGAAGTGGACCCATGTGCGCAATACCGTGGTCGCCACAGCCGCTGATGTATTGGGCCCGAGCGAACGCCGTCAGGCCGACTGGTATGATGACAACTCTGCAACCATACAGCCCCTTCTGCGCGCCCGCAATGAGTGCTACGCGGAGTGGCTTGCCCACGGTCAGCAGAGGGGCGACACGTATTGGGCCAGCTTCGGGGCTGCTCGATCGCAAGCGCGCGCAGCCGTTGTAAATGCCAAAGAGGCTTGGATTTTGAATAAGGCACAGGAGGCAACAGAGGCGCGCTTCAACGGGGCAGTCGTCTGGAAATGCGTTCATGCTATCCACGCTGCATGTGAGGGATTAACTCCGTGCAAGACTTCCGCCATTAAGGACGAGAATGGAAACCTGTGCCAGTCGACTGAGGATCAATGCAAGCGGTTCCAGAGGCATTTCACATCTGTCCTGAACCCAGAGAGCTCGTACAACCCCGATATCATGGCTTGCGTTGAGCAGCGACCTGTAGTGTCGAGCCTTGAGGAACCACCAACCATGCATGAGATCTCCAAGGCCATTTCTCGACTTCGCAATGGCACCGCTGCTGGTTCATCGAGGATACAGCCAGAGTTGCTAAAGTTCGGTGGCGAGGAGCTCAACAACAAGCTCATGGAGCTGTTTGGAGATGTGTGGCGAGATGGCTGCGTTCCGCGGGAGTGGGCGGATGCTACCCTCATCCCCATTCCAAAGAAGGGAGATTTGTCGCAGTGCGACAATTGGCGGGGCATTGCGTTGCTGGATGTGGTCGGCAAGGTCTTGGCGAGTGTCCTTCAGAGAAGGCTGCAGGTATTCGCGGAGGAATTTCTCCCTGAGTCCCAGTGCGGGTTCCGGCGAGGGCGTGGCTGCTCTGACATGATCTTCACCGTCCGACAGCTCATGGAAAAGTCAATCGAACATCAGGCCAAGGGTTTTTTTGTGTTTATCGACCTGAAGAAGGCCTATGATTCAGTGCCCAGGGGGTGTCTGTGGCAGGTCCTCGGCCGTGCGGGAGTACCAGAAAAGCTTATCAACATCATCCGGTCGTTCCACGACCCCATGTCAGCATCGGTGCAGTTCAACAACATATTATCAGACCCGTTCAGCATTGGCAATGGTCTTCGCCAGGGGTGCTCTATGGCGCCGGTCCTTTTTAATATCTTTATGTGGGCCGTGATGACCCAGTGGCAACACCGCGTCAGGAGAGTTGACGGGGTTGGCTTCGAGCTCCGCTCAGCATACAGCAGCGATTTATACCGTAAACCCCGCCGTGACGACCAACACCATTGCCTAACAGATTCCCAGTTTGCTGACGACTCTTGTTTATTCGCTACGACTCGGTCTGGAGCGGGGGCAGCATTGTGCTGTCTTCACGAGGTGGCGTCGGGATTCGGCTTGACCATCAGTGCAACGAAGACTCAGTTTGTAGTTGTTGGCCCCGGCATCACGCTTACTGACCGCGCTCCCCTCCAACTTGGTCAAGCGGAGGTGGAATGCGTACCGCATTTCAAATACCTCGGTTCTGTAGTGGACAGCGGTTGCCGTTCGTCCCGGGACATCGCCGCAAGGATTGCCCAAGCCTCCAGGGCCTGCGGTGCTCTTCGGAGGTCTGTATTCTCCAATCCACATCTGCTGATGCACACCAAGCGGTGCGTATTCAATGCTTGCGTTCTGTCCCTGCTGTTGTATGGCTCTGAGTGCTGGACGCCCCTTCAGCATGACCTGCAGAAGCTCTCAACCTTCAGCATGAGGTGCATCCGATCCATCCTCGGGGTCTCTCGAAGCCGGATGTGGGACGAACACATCACCAACGAAGAGCTGCTGGTGCGCTGGGGAGACTCCGAGACGATTAAAGACAAAATTGCACATCGGCGGTTGGAGTGGTTGGGGCATGTGGCGCGGATGCCGGACAACCGCATCCCAAAACAGGTACTGTTTGGCTCCTTCTTGCAGCGTCGCCCAGCACATGGCCCACGCCGCAGATGGAAGGACTGCGCTGTCAGAGATCTACGTGCCCGTGGCGTGGAGGCATCATGGTATGATGTTGCATGTGAGTCTCGCGCGGAGTGGCGCAGCACCTACCAAGAGCCTGACAATGTGCCTGAGCCTCCGCCCCGAGTGGTATGTACGGTATGCGGACGGGATTTTGCACGGAAAGGAGACATGGCTCGGCATAAGTGTCTGGAGGAGCGTGCGCGGCCTGTGTCTGAGCAGCGGGGCGCCAGTCAGTGCGGGCGGTGTGGGCGGTGGCTGAGAAGCCGCGGTGGCTTGGTCCGGCATGTGTGTGCCTCAACGGTGGATGCCGCAGTGCCACCTGGAACTACCGGAGCGTCGGCACCGGCGGAGGGATGTTGTGCCGCGCATTGTGACAGGTGTGGTCGCTGCTTTCGCGGTGTCCGGGGACGGGGAAGGCATCGCTGTTCAAGGGTGGCTCATAGACCAACAGCAGAGGAGCGCTCAGCCTTCCAGCACGTGTGCATATGCGGCAAGCGGATGCGACTACCCGTGCACCTGGAGCGTCATCGAGCGTCGTGTCCTCTCTCTCTCTCTTCTCAAGTTTCCCAGTGATGGGATCACGTGACCCTTTTGCGGCAGTGACTCTACAGGACAGGACAGGTATGTGTGTGTGTGTGGTGTGTGTGTGTATGTGTGTGTGGTGTGTGTGTAGTATGGACACTATGCAGATCCTACTAGTACTAGTATTGGAGTACACTCAAACGCCTCTTATCCGGACGCCTCAGATACGGGCACGTCTCTCTCCCGGGCACCTTCAGCTTGAGTTCCTATAGCACAAATGCTTCGAATTTGGGGGTTTTGAACTTTTTCCGTATTCGGAAGTGCTTATTTTTCACTGCCAACCTATGTAATCCACACATTTTTATCAATGGGTTCCTTATGTATCCTGAACATGTGCAATACGTTCCAAATAAACTTCTTCAAAAAGTGATATGATACATGGTAGATGAGTTATCCTGAGATACGGGCAGTGCCCGGTCCGAAGGTGCCCGGATAAGAGACGTCCGAGTGTACTGTTACCCTCTGTGGCACATTGCAGTTGATAACCTGTCAGTCACTTCTGCTTTCTAGAGCAAGCATACAACTCTCACTCTTGGCGTACAAACCGTCATGCTCTCATTTGGGTACAAACCGTCATACTCTCATGTGGCGTACAAACCGTCATGCTCTCATGTGGCATACAAACCGTCATGCTCTCATGTGGCGTACAAACCGTCATGCTCTCATGTGGCATACAAACCGTCATGCTCTCATGTGGCGTACAAACCGTCTCACTCTCATTTGGCATACAAACCGTCATACTCTCATGTGGTGTACAAACCGTCATACTCTCATGTGGCATACAAACCGTCATGCTCTCATTTGGCGTACAAACCGTCATACTCTCATGTGGTGTACAAACCGTCATACTCTCATGTGGCGTACAAACCGTCATACTCTCATGTGGCGTACAAACCGTCATGCTCTCATGTGGTGTACTAATTCTCACTCTCATTTGGCATACCGGTACTCCTGCTCTCATTTGGCATACGAACTCTCTCATTTTATGTGCAAACTCACACCCACATTTTGGCATGCCAGCTCTCACACTCATTAGTTGTGCAAACTCTCAAGCTGATTTTGATTGTAATGCCAGACGTGTAGCATACATACTTTGAGTTTTTTTCTGTACATTCAGTTGTTCTGTACATTCAGTTGTTCTGTACATTCAGTTGTTCTGTACATTCAGTTCCCCAGTGCATTCAGTTGTTCTGTACATTCAGCTGTTCTGTACATTCAGTTGTTCTGTACATTCAGTTGTTCTGTACATTCAGTTGTTCTGTACGTTCAGTCGTTGTGTGCAGTCAGTTGTCTCCTGCCTTTGCTTGTATGGGACACGTACACATACATACATACATACATACATACATACATACATACACTTGAGAGGGACGAAAAGCGTTTCTTCTGTAACTCTGAGTTTCACGGTTTTAACCGATCATCAACTCCCTCCGAGTTTACATACATACATACATACATACACATACGTACACATACATACACATACATACATATACGTACACATACTCAATCTGCGGACAGAACTGTTTCGTCCTTTGTGGACTCGTCAGCGCAGCACAGAGGAAATGAGGCCGGACCTGATAGCAATGGAAATAAAAATGTCCAATCAGGTCCGAACGTACCTTACATACATACATACGTACACATACGTACACATACATACACATACGTACGTACACATACACAAGTACTTGTATCATGGACTAGTTTAGAGTCTAGGGCCGAAACGATTATACCGATTACTCGTATATCACTCGTTATGGATGAAATCGATAATCGTTATGATCGATAACGATTATGACTGTACAGTGCGAGAGCGGTCATGACGTCAGTGCATGCAGACCATGCATGGCATCATGCACGCGCGTCATGCGCACAAGTACATGAACGTCGAAGTAGACGTGCATGAAGCCGTAGGTCCGCACGCTTGATCCTTTTTGGGTAGTCGTACATAGTCACTACATTCACTGCACTAGTCAGCGTAGCCGGAAAATGTAACAACCGGAAAGCTTCATTACTGTTAGGTTGTAGCGAAACTGTGAGTGTGGCTGCCGTCCTTCTAATTTGTTCAGTTCTTGTCAAAAACTTAGTTAGTTTTGATTTTTTGGCGAGGAGAGCAGTGACAATGCTGCCGCCTGGAAAAGCGAAAGTTAATCTGACCAAGAGATCGCCAGCGTGGGCATATTTCGAGGAAGCTGATAGCGTAGCGAGATGCAATTCGTGCAGCCGCGAGTTCGTCCGTCAAAGCGGCACAACCAACTTGTTCCAGCACCTGATTTCTGCTCATAAAGACCAGTACGCCGCTGCGGTAGGGAAAGGATCAGCAACCCAGTCGACAACAACGGCGACTACCAGCAATGTTGAGCGCAGTGACAATGCGACGAACAGTGCTGGATATGAAGCCCGTCGCGTCGTTCTTCGGCACAGATAACTTGCGAACGTGCGACAGCAGGCGCTCAGGCATGTTGACGGAGTCGATCATCGACTGGATTGTCGATTCCAGTCGACCCTTCTCCATTGTAGATGACGGACGACTGATCGTTGATGTTTAATGGCAGAGGAACACTGCTCATATCACTTTGCAAATTTCATTTTGGTCTTTTTGGGGCCTGTGTGGATCTTTCACCCATACGTACCTGTATATAGTTGAACAAATTTAATTGTTTTTGCTGTCTACTGATGTCCAACATGACACGTATAAAACTTGTTCGGAAAATCGGTAAAACCAATAAATCGATCGTTAGTGTTATTGGTTAATCGTTAAGGCAAAATGGGCAATCGTTTCGGCCCTAGAACTTTAGACTGCACCGCATTAGTGTTTGTTTTGTTGTTTGTATCATGGACTAGTTTAGACTGCACCGCATTAGTGTTTGTTTTGTTGTTTGTATCATTATTATCGTTATTCTCTTTTTGCAGAAGAGTTTCCCTATCCTGCCAAGACAGCGTGCAGCCATCAGTCATTTCCCAACTTTAGTCCTACAGGTAAGGACATTGAGGACTTGATGATGTTTGTACTCCCGTCTCCTTCAATGTGTCACATGTACTTCAGTCTTGTAAATAGCTGCTGCACCTGCCTTTTTCTGCATATATTTCTGCGACACTTTGCATGCTTTGCAGTGCCACATATGATGATCCTTTGGAAAATTAGTGTCAATGGCACATTGTTCAATTTGTGTATATGCTGGAAGTTATGTCACATTGCGTTCCAATGCATATGCGTATTGCATGTGTGTGTGTGTGTGCATGTGTACGTGTGTGCATGCGTGCGTGTGTATGTGTGGGGGTGCATGCGTGCGTCCGTGTGTGTGTGTGGGTGCATGTGTGCGTGTGTGCGTGTGTGTGTGACAGGCCAGTCGATTAGTTTTACAAGATCCCAGTCAACCTCTCAAGATAAGTTGTACAGTGTGTGTTTTTCCTCTCATGTCTGTCAGTTCAGCCCCAGCCATCGTCTACACAGATGAGCCGCAATCAGCGAAAACGACCCTTAGAGATTTCGTAATTTTTTCGAGAAAAAGGTCGATTTGTGACGTTCAACGATTTTTTGATCGCGCTGCAAACAGCGCGACGACTTCTTGAACTCCTTGCTTGAAGTAATTATTTATTTTGAAGTTGAAGTGGTGTCGAGTGGCGACCCAGTGTTCCTTGATCTTGTTGCGATGGCTGCGGACGCCAGAGCTGTTCGCAGAGCACACACGGCAGTCATTGTCTACAGCTAGCTCGAGCCTGGTGGGGAGTGGATGCTGAAGTAGCCGCTGAAGTTCAAAATGAGGATGAAACTTTCTTTGGTTCCGACATCGATGTCGACAGCGAGGCGGAATCGCAGCCGTCATCTCCTGCTGCGATGTGGCTCAAGGTGGCCGATGACTCGTCAGAGTCGGAAGATGAGGAGTCGTCACCTGAGATAAATTCTGAGTCTGGGGCTAGTGTCAGTAGTGACGGTAGCGACGTCGTGTCTTCAGCTGCGGAGGAAGAAATGGAAGACGAGATTGCGGAACGACTCCACGCAGGATGCAGCTGCGATCATGTCGATCATTTCTCCGCACTCATCAGCTATTCTTTGTCATTATAGCTGCTTACTTCACTATTTCAAAAGTATGCAAGCTGCCCACCCACCTTCGAATGCTGAATATTCATTGTACACATACATTGTATACATACATTGCACCAATTTGGAGTACATATTGTATATTGGAGTATACACCCGTTTATAATCGGAATATTGAACTTTTTCTTGGCTGAGGGCCTTCAGTAGATGTGGTTCAACAAATTTCTAACCAAAAAGGAATTTTGAAAATGTTGACCCTAAGGGCTGGTTTCGCTGGTTGAGGCCCAGATGTCAAGAGTGGGGCTTTCCCTCCATTTTGAAAGGTGTGCTGTTGCTACATACTGTAACGCACAGTCGCATCCTCCATTGTGCAGGACATTCAGAATTCTTGCATGTTGCTCTGTTGTTTTTCTTCTGTTATTATCTGCAGAAAGTGGAGGAGTCGCTGGCTGCAGTCTTGTTGATTGAAAACTCTTCGTTGTCAGAAGTGTTTCACGAATTTCTTCAAGCACGCATGGTTAGTAGTAGTCTGACCTTCCATTGGCCCTCCATTGACCCTCCCTTGGCCCTCCATCCAACCTCCATTGGCCCTCCATGCACCCTCCATCCACCCTCCATTGACCCTCCATTGCCCCCCCCCCCCCCTTCACATGTTGTTCAGTAGTTGTGGTGAGCTCAGGCCGGAGCATGTCAGGTGTTTAATCTCAGCTCAGCGTGTTGCTTTTTGGGCTGGTGTGGGTATGCATATGTTTCCGTGTGTGTGTGTGTGTGTGTGTGTATGTGTGTGTGTGTGTATGTGTGTGTGTGTGTAGCTTCCGAAGCTGATACTGTTTTGCTTCTTCTCAGATCGACGCCCAGCCTGTGGGCCACGACTGCGATGGAAAGACCTCGTCGCACGTGATCTTCGTTTCGGTGGCATAGTGAATTGGCTCACTTTGGCTCAGGATCGCCCAGCATGGCGCGAGGCAATTGCAAAGACTCCGGATGATCTCGTGGAGTGCAACAACAACAAAGTCACCTGCAAGGTTTGCAACCGATCATTCACTGCTCGTGGGATTCACCGTCACAAGTGCTCAGCTGTACGGTCCTTACCTGTTGCCCAGCAGCCTGGGGCCCGTCACTGTGGAGTTTGTGACCGCTGGTTTCAAAGCGCTGGCGGTTTTGCAGTTCATCGTTGTGTGGAGCGTCAGACATCGGACGAAATACCAGCTGTTTCAACGAGATGCAGCCTGAATTTGGACTGCTGCCAGCACCATTGCTCGACCTGTGATCGCTGCATGAAGAGTCAGGCTGATTTTAACCGCCATAATTGTACTCGAGGCAAACGACTGCGAAAGGACCAGAGGACTAATCTGCCCATTCAATGCAGCCTATGTAGCGAACGATTCTCCCGCCCACAGGACCTCACCCGCCACCGAAGACAGAAACACTAGCTGTGTGTAGAACGGTCTCCTTTCACCTCAATTACTCTCCTTGTTTCTTTTTCCTTTCTCGCTGTTGTCTCCCGCTTCTGGGAGCGACGTGGCCATTTTGTGGCAGTTGTACATAGTAGTAGTAGTAGTGTGTGTGTGTGTGTGTGTGTGTGTGTGTGTGTACGTGTGTGTGTGTGTGTGTGTGTGTGTGTGTGTGTGTGTGTGTGTGTGTGTGTGTGTGTGTGTGCAGCTTGTTGTTGGAGGAGGCAGTTTGCTCTTTTTGAGCTCTGTCTCAATGATGGATTAGCCACACTTGGCAGCCAAGTGCCGTATGGTGGAGACCAGGCCTTGGCTGCTGTGGCCCGTCCTGACAGCCTTGCGAGCTGTCGGGAGGTTTGTTGTACGCATTGCACTAGTCAGACGAAGTGGTTTGGGGAATTTGTAGTTTTTTGAATTTGAATGAATTATGGTCACAACGAGGAGGACGGGGAAGACGAAGGCGAAGGGGACACTGGTCACTGCGACATGGAACGTTCGGTCCTTGGTGGAGGACGCTGGTGATGCCAAAATATGCCGTAAAAATAAAAATGTCTCGGATACCGCCGTCGACAGGAAACTGGATTTTCTTGTGGAGGAACTCGGCAGGTTCGGCGTGGACGTTGCTGGTATTCAGGAGACGAAATGGTTTGGAAGCGACGTCTGGCCTGCTGGGAGCGGTACGTTGTTACACTCTGGGAGGCCTTTGCCTTTGGGGAGTGAGCCCGGCCGCCGGAACGAGGGAGTTGGAATTTTGATGAATTCCACCGTGACCGAGATGTGGAAGAGCGGAGGGGAGCAGTGGAGCGCCGTCAGTTCGCGTATTGTCACTGCTCGTCTTCTTGTCGCCAAGCGAGGTGATAAACTCCCTGTTGGAGGTAAGCGACACGCAGATTTCTATGTCTCTATCGTCAATGTTTATGCTCCAACGAGTAAAGCCCCACCGAACGTAAGACGCAAGTTTTTCGATGACTTGCAACGAGTTGTGGACAGTATCCCATCCAGAGATGTTCTTGTGCTGCTTGGGGATTTGAACGCGCGCGTCGGGTCCAGCACTGACTATGCAGACAGCGCTGTGAGTCGTATCGATGGCATGCCAGGGGATGAGTGGATGTGGGGTTGTGTCTTGGGCCAATTTGGCCTTGGAAATTGCAATCGGGCTGGTGAGGAGCTGTTGTCATTCTGTGCAGCTAATCAATTGTCAGTAATGAATACATGGTACAAGAAGGGACGAAGTAAGCGTGGAACATGGACTCATCCAGCCACTCGCCAAGTGCATCTCATTGATTATGTCATCATGCGTACAGCTCATTGCTGCTACTGTAAGGACGTTGGTGTTGTCCGCGGCGCACTGTGCTGGACTGACCACTACATGGTTCGGGCCAAGCTTGTCCTGGACTTCGTCCAACGTAGATCCACTGTCCCTAAGCGGAGGTCGTATGCCACCCATCGCCTGCGTGAGCCTGATACGTTACTGCAGTACCGAGAGTCAATGGAGGCAGCCTGTGGTGGCGTGGTCGGTGGTGGCCAGAGTGTTGAAGAGACCTGGAATTCCCTTCGTGATGACATCACCAGCGTGGCGGAGAGAACACTGGGCCATGGTCGGCGGCGGCAACCAGACTGGTTTCTGGAGAATAGGGCAGCATTGGAGCCACTTATTGAGGCGAAGCGACGTGCCCATGAACGAATGTTGTCGGCAGGCAATCAAACGACACGTTCCGGATTTAGATCAGCCCAGCGGTCGGTTGCGAGGGCGGTGCGTGGTGCAAAGGAACAATGGATCCGTGAGGTGGTCGGTGATGCTGAGCGTGCTCAAAGGGATGGCTGTGTGAGGTGGAAATGCATCCGAAAATTGCAGCGAGTGGATGATGGCAGGCGTACGGTCACACCCTCGGCGGTTTATGATGGAGACGGACACCTTACTGACAGCCCGGAAAGTCTTGTTACGCGTTGGCATGCACACTTCGACAGAGTGCTCAACATTGCTAGTCAGTTTAGTATGCATGTCATTGATAACATGCCTACTGCTGAGCCGCGTCATGAACTTGACATGGCCCCGACATTTGAGGAGGTGATGGCTGCAATGCGGAGGATGAGTAGGGGCACGGCTGGTGGCTCGTCAGGTATTGTGCCGGAATTGGTGCTGGGTGGCGGTCTTGCTCTCCACCGGCGTATTCATTCTCTGATTTCCCGGATTTGGGCAGGTGGCTCCGTTGTTTCTGAGTGGCGCGACGCTGAGATTGTACCCATACCGAAGAAAGGCGACCTACGGTCATGTGACAATTGGCGAGGCATCAGCCTGTTGGATGTAGTCGGTAAGCTGTTTGCACGGGTTATCCAGGATCGCCTTCAGGAACTGTCCGAGGATGTGCTGCCTGAGTCACAGTGCGGTTTTAGGAAGGGACGTGGGTGCGTCGACATGGTGTTTGTGGCGCGCCAGCTAATCGAGAAGGCCATCGAACATGATACGCCACTGTATGTCATATTTGTCGACCTGAAGAAGGCTTATGACAGCATACCTCGTGAGGCGTTGTGGCTTGTCCTCGGGAAGCTCGGTATTCCACCTACCCTTCTCAGCTTGATTCGGTCCCTACATGTCGGCATGAGGGCTCGGGTTCGTATATCTGGTCGCTTGACGGAGGACATATATGTTAACAATGGTCTTCGCCAAGGCTGTACTCTTGCCCCCACCCTATTCAATCTGTATTTTGCTGCCGTAATGTCGTCTTGGCGTTCCCGCTCTTCTGTTCCCGGCGTGTCCCTGCGCTCACGCCCTGGCCGGAAGCTTGTTGGGGATCGAACAACCAAGGCGCGACTGAACACGTACCAAGTTACCGAGTCCCAGTTCGCTGATGATGCCGCTGTATACACCACATCAAGAGAACATCTGGAGACCCTGGCAAACGAGTTCATCGCCTGTGCCTCTCAGTGGGGTCTCACTGTCAGCATCGCGAAGACAAAGGCCATAGCAGTCGGCCCGGGGGACCTACAACCTGATGTCGTCCTCGATGGTGGTGGGGTTGTGGAGATGGTCTCCGGCTTTACTTACCTCGGTAGTGTGGTGAGTTGCGATGGGTCACTGGACGTGGAGATCACCTCCCGCTTGGCCAAGGCATCTCGTGTGTTTGGTTGCCTCCTGGCCCCGATTTTCCGGTGCCGGGGTTTATCCATCGGCATTAAGTGCATGGTATATCGCGCTTTTGTCCTGAGCACTCTGTTCTACGGTGCAGAGACATGGGCTGTGAAGGCTACCCACGTCCATCGGCTGACCGTCTTCCATCGCTCCTGTATTCGGTCTATCCTCGGTGTATCGCGGATCCAGCAGTGGGAGGACAGGCTCACATCGGCAGAATTGGGCAGGCGATTTGGCATGTCTCTTGACATCTCCGATTTGCTCCGACAGCATCGTCTGCGCTGGCTGGGGCACATTGCCCGTATGGAGGAACACCGCACTCCGCAGCAGATGGTATTTGGCGAGTTATATGCCACTCGCCCCCGCCACGGTCCGAAGAAGCGATGAGCTGCGGCACAGATCGGAGAGGGAGAATGGTTCCATCAAGCCCAGGATCGCCCAACCTGGAAGCGGTTGTGTCGTCAGCAGCCTCCTCCACCCGGACCGAAAGAGTTCCGTTGCGCATGTGGCCGTCCCTTTGGCCGCATTGGGGACCTGAAGAGGCACGCCCCCCACTGCCGCGTCTGAGCCATCATCGCTACGCGATGGGTGTCCAAGGTCCAAGGTCCAAGGTGTGTGTGTGTGTGTGTGTGTGTGTGTGTGTGTGTGTGTGTGTGACTCTGTACTGCTCACAGCCAAACCAATGCGTTTCCTGAAGACCGGCGATGTACATTTTCAAATTTTCAAGATGTTCAACTATTTGAAAGATTTTCTTATCGTCGGAAACAATTCCTCTCACGGCTGCCGTCTGAACTGGTCCATCACTCTCCACAAGAGAGCGAACATTCCATGAGCCAATGCTCAGAGTCGTTCCAGGTCGTCGCCTTCGTGCGGTAGTTTGCTCCACTCGCGGGCTTGCAGGGCCTCGCGAAGGACTCCGAGGTGGCGACGACGAGGAGAGTGTCGGCATCGTAACTATCCGATCACTGGGGGCAGTCTCCTATTCAGTCGGAAGTCAACAGACAAGAGCAAGGTCCATCGCGAGTGTCAATTTGCAGATGTCTCTGCTCTGCTGGCTTCCACTCATGATGGTGCACAGCGGGCCCTTGACCAATTCATACTTGTAGCGTATTCTTTCGGCTTGACAGTCAACCTGGACAAGACAAAGGTGATGGCTGCTGGATATGGACTCGCGGAAGCAGACCGGCTGCCCCTGGACGTGGCGGGTGAGGTGGTCGAGTGTGTAGATAGTTTCCGTTACCTTGGCTCTCTCCTCCACACGAATGGCCGATCCACCCCAGATATCAGCTCGCGCATTGCCGGTGCATCACGTGCATTTGGAGCCCTGCGCCAGCCGGTTTTCACTGACAGCAACCTCTCACTTGCTACGAAGCGGCTTGTGTACGGGGCATGCGTGTTGTCTCTGCTTCTGTACTGTGCTGAGTGTTGGGTGCCGTTGAAGCCCGACCTTGATGCACTGTGCTCTTTCCATCTGCGCTGCATCTGTTCCGTGATGGGTATCAGCCAGCGGAATGTCTGGGACGAACGACTGACCAGGGTTGATGTTCTGGAGCGGTGGAATCCGCGTCAGCCCCGTGACATCCCCAGCCTGCTGACATTGCGCCGCATGGAGTGGCTTGGGCATGTTGCGCGAATGCATGAGGAGCGTGCCCCGCGTCAACTACTGTTTGGCACCCTACATCCTGTCCGTCGAATGTGCGGCCCGAGGAAAAGGTGGCGCGATGCTGAGCGGAGGGATCTGGCGGCGTTGGGCATCGACGAATGGTATGACTTGGCCCAGGATAGACGGGAATGGCGGGCCGCTTGCAATGTTCTGCCCCCGCCCGAACCCGTTTGTGAGCCCCTGCGGATACCTTGTGCCGAGTGTGGCCGTCTCTTCTCCAGGAGTGGTTTGCCTCGTCATAAATGCCTCGATGAGCGCCGCCAACCTGTATCAGAACAGAGAGGTAGCAGACAATGTTCTTCCTGCGAGCGCTGGTTCCGCAGTGCCGGAGGTTTGGCGGTCCACAAGTGCCCCAACTCCCGGATGCTCTCTGCGACATCGTCTCGGGCTCCGTGCCGGGCGGCGGTGTCTACCATTGCTGCTCAGGCGACTCCTCCGCCGCCGCGTGTGCGGCTCGCCCTCTCATGCTGCAAGGCCCACTGCGGGGCCTGTGGCCGGTGCTGCCGCTCTACTCGTGGATTCCAAATCCATAGCTGCCGAAGATGGCTCTCTCGTCGTGCCGATTGAACATGGTCCCTGATCTCTCGGCAGACTGCCGACTTTCTGCCGTCGCGCGTCCTTTTCCATGTTGTGAGCCCCGCGAGGGGACACGTGACCGTAATGGCAGTGTTTACCAGGACCAGGACCAGGTGTGTGTGTGTGTGTGTGTGTGTGTGTGTGTGTGTGTGTGTGTGTGTGTGTGTGTGTGTGTGTGTGTGTGTGTGTGTGTGTGTGTGTGCAGGGCCGTAGCAGGCGGTCCGGCAGGTCCGGCAGCTGCCGGACCAATATTCGACCAAAAAAAAAAAAAAAAAAGCAATAAAGAGAACAAATCCTGCAGTCATCGCCACACTACAACGAAGTCATGAAAGTTTACCAGAATTAATTTTCTTGTCACATTCATCAGTGGAAAGTCGTGACTGAAGAGTAACCATGCTGAACAATGATTAAAATAAATATACATTCAATGATGTGTTACGAGAACAAAATACAGTGCCAAAATAGAATGAGGGAAGGTGAGACAATAGAAGTGAAGTGAGAGCTAAGTGCAACGGCGGGTGAGAAACTAATTATAACGCGAAAAATGTGTAGTGAGACAAACAACCATGCTGTGCACCTACGAAAACAATTTTAACGCAACTACATGTTTCTTCTGCTTACAAAGATCAGGCTTATGCAAACGGGAAAAAAAAAAAAAAAACGGAACCTCACAGATGTGAGCAGCTCAGGATGTCCACCCGGTACCATTGATGAGGGTGTGTGCAATAAGTAGCATAGAGGTAGTACATAGTAGTGCCGGTAGTACATGTAGACCTACAAACACGTCCGCTCGTCGTCCAACCCCGTTTAAAAGATTGCTGAAAGTGTTTTTCTACGGTTAATATGGCCGAATAGGACCTCCCTCTGGCATAGGTCCTCATCTTCCTATTTCTCCCTGATTGTTACTTCGTTCGAACTTGACTTGTAATTACCGGTACAAATACTTCCTTTTGACTGTTTTCTCATTTTCGCAAGTGAAGCTTTATTGAGCCACACTTTTTATTCTATCGCCATCATGATATTGGGCATCAATGCCCGTTTGGTTTGCGATGTAAAATAAAACTTCAAACAAACAAAGGTTACATGTCATCAGGAGTATGACCCTGCTGAAGATCATGTGGACAGTCATGCCCGTGAATGTTCCTACTCTGTACTTCCTGAAATGATTGTATTGATTCTTTTCTTCCTCCAATTCTTTCTAGATAGAGATTGCACCAAAGATTTTCCATTGCAATATCCTTTCTCCTCCTCCAAAGGTCCATTCTGGTTCTTTTATCACATGCATTTAAATACGGTTGCATAGGCTTCAACAAGTTCTGTTTGGACGGACACAACATGCTGATGCCCTTTTTCCTGACTCATGCCGAACGTCCTTCTTCCTTTTCTCGCCCTATGTCACTCTGCATTGTCACGATTACATGCATGTACATGTACAATCAAGAGTACACGGGGGGGGGGGGGGGGGGGTTATGTACTCTTGATACAATGTATGTGCTTCGAAGCAGGGAGCCCTACACATACCGGGAGGTGACACGGGCACAGAAACTGTGCATGACGTTTGACTCATTCAAAAAAAAAGTAGCTGAGAGTTCTCATCACACATCAATACAGATATTGATTGAGATATTGATGAAAAGAGTTAATCGATGCTGAATATCGTTTGTGAGAGTCATCTTATCATAATGCTGGCTTGCTGTGACACTTCAATATGGCCCTGAGTGGTCATTGACGCAAGTAGGATGGCGGCCAATGTTTCCCAGGCTCAGCGTTGTGTATGTGTAGGGCTCTCTGCTTCGAAGTACAATCATGTACATTTTGTACATGTACCGGCATATGTATGAGTGTGGGCTCGGGGGGAGCATCGAAGTCGGATCTTGCCGGACCAACCAAAATGGGGCTGCTACGGGCCTGGTGTGTGTGTGTGTGTGTGCGTGTGTGCGTGTGTGCGTGTGTGCGTGTGTGCGTGCATGCGTGCATGCATGTGTGTGTGTGCATGTTTGTTTATGTTTCTTCCCAATTTTGTTTTCGTGTGTACGTGTACGTGCAGGCTGCTGTTGAGTCATTGTTCAGTGATGAGCAAGGTGAGTGCTGATTCTTATACAATACTACCTACTGTATGACTGTATGACTGTATGACTGTATGACTGTATGTATGACTGTATGTATGACTGTATGTGTGTAGAACAGTGGGTATAGCTGCTACACCAGTGTGTAATGCACTCTGGACACTGATTCCATACATGGAAGATAATGCACCACTTGGAATAAGTTGCTGCTCAGAGGTTCATGTCTCTGTCAATCTTGTGCTGTTGCCAGTTCCCACAAGATTGTCATTGGCATGAAACTTGAGTAGTTACTTTACCTTGCAACAACATATCCCCAAGCTGTTTCTGGGCTCCCATGGTCAGTGTGTGTGTGCTCTACTGCTGGCCCTGGAGAGCAGGAATGGCTTCAGAACCGGATCATCCATACCGGGGACCCTTCATAACCGGGTCGACTGGGCCAGGAACTCTGACCCCACAATGGTGTGTTAGGGAGGGGGGGGGGGGGGGGCGTGCAGAAACGGCCTCAGAACCGGGTCACACGGGCCAGGAACCCTGACCCTATGGTGGTGTGTGTGTGTAGGAGGAGGGGGTCAGTTTGGCATGATCTGCGAGCCAAGCTGAGAGTAGAGTGACAACTGTGCTCAATGTGGTACATACAGTGTTGCTCGATGAGATCCGATCGTGTGAGTCGGCAGCTTTGTGCCCCGCATCAGTGAACAACCCAGTGTTTGCATCCTATCAAGCAAGTCAATGCCATGCCGGCCGCTGCGCAGCCATAGACCTGCAAATACTGGGATGGTGAACTGGTGTAGAGGGAAAACTTGACTCACGCGGTGAGATTTCATTGAGCAGCACTCTACATGTGCTTGAGCTGTGACTGGTTTTAGCTATGTGCGTAATGGCGTGTATTCACACCTGTACATTTGCAATACGAGCACACAGGACAGCACATGCTTACACACGCATTGACCAGAGGTCATCTGTGCATGTGTGTGCATGTGTTTGAGTATGTGTGCATGTGTGTGAGTATGTGTGTGAAATTCAGTTTTGATTTTCTTTGGTTATAATACATACCGTTCTTTCTTTATAGTTTCACTGTGTGTGTGTGTGTGATTTTCTGTGTAGGTCTTAGTTTCAAGGAGCTAGCTTGCCGTTTGATGCAGCTTATCCGTACCACATTACAGCAAGTCTATTTGATGTTTTCATCGCCGTCTTCATCCTTGTCAGCAAACAACCATGTTGTTGATCTTGCCATGGAATCAGGTATGATGGTCTAATGTCTCTCTCTCTCTCTCTCTCTCTCTCTCTCTCTCTCTCTCTCTCTCTCTCTCTCTCTCTCTCTCTCTCTCTCTCTCTCTCTCTCTCTCTCTCTCTCTCTCTCTCTCTCTCTCTCTCCCTCTCCCTCTCCCTCTCCCTCTCCCTCTCCCTCTCCCTCTCCCTCTCCCTCTCCCTCTCCCTCTCCCTCTCCCTCTCTCTCTCTCTCTCTCTCTCTCTCTCTCTCTCTCTCTCTCTCTCTCTCTCTCTCTCTCTCTCTCTCTCTCTCTCTCTCTCTCTCTCTCTCTCTCACGTTTAAGATCTGTAAATTCCAGTATCCTGACTTCTTTGGTGTGGAGAAAACTCCAACTGAGTATGTCCCGTCAATGATTCAACTGTGACAAGTGAAGGTGTTTTGGTGTTTTGGTGCAGAACCTTGTTTGTTATCCTCCCAGTAGGTTGCTTGAGTTTGATGAGACTGCAGCTCTGTACATACCACATCAAGAATCTGCCTGCAGGGGGGGGGGGGGGGGGGGTGTCAATACTTCAGGGGGTGAATACTCTGAGGGGTTGGGGGGGGGGAGTGTGTCAGGGGTCTTTACTGGGGGGGGGGGGGGGCAGTACTTCAGGGAAGGCAGGGGCGTAGCGTAACACTGTTCAGTGTCTACTTTGGTAGATCATGTGACACGACATAGTGTACAAAATTCACTCTATTTTCAATTTTGCAGCCAAGGATATTGGCTCAGCCAGCTCATTGGGATGTTTGCGGTAAACTGCACTTGGAACTAGGTAGATATTGGAGATTTAGATCAGGCTTTAGGCAGGCATCAAGCCTATGGTGCTTCTTACGAGTATTCAACGAGTCTGATTCAGCAGACTTCATGATTCTCCTTTGATCTGGAACTACATGTACTACTGTCAACTTCGCTAATAACGACTGCGGATATAGCGACAATTCGCTAATAACGACTGCGGATATAGCGACAATTCGCTAATAACGACTGCGGATATAACGACAATTCGCTAATAACGACTGCGGATATAGCGACAATTCGCTAATAACGACTGCGGATATAGCGACAATTCGCTAATAACGACTGCGGATATAGCGACAATTCGCTAATAACGACTGCGGATATAACGACAATTCGCTAATAACGACTGCGGATATAGCGACAATTCGCTAATAACGACTGCGGATATAGCGACAATTCGCTAATAACGACTGCGGATATAGCGACAATTCGCTAATAACGACTGCGGATATAGCGACAATTCGCTAATAACGACTGCGGATATAGGGACAATTCGCTAATAACGACTGCGGATATAGCGACAATTCGCTAATAACGACTGCGGATATAGCGACAATTCGCTAATAACGACTGCGGATATAGCGACAATTCGCTAATTACGACTGCGGATATAGCGACAATTCGCTAATAACGACTGCGGATATAGCGACAATTCGCTAATAACGACTGCGGATATAGCGACAATTCGCTAATAACGACTGCGGATATAGCGACAATTCGCTAATAACGACTGCGGATATAGCGACAATTCGCTAATAACGACTGCGGATATAGCGACAATTCGCTAATAACGACTGCGGATACAGCGACAATTCGCTAATAACGACTGCGGATATAGCGACAATTCGCTAATAAGGACTGCGGATATAGCGACAATTCGCTAATAACGACTGCGGATATAGCGACAATTCGCTAATAACGACTGCGGATGTAACGACAATTCGCTAATAACGTCTGCGGATATAGCGACAATTCGCTGATAACGACTGCGGATATAGCGACAATTCGCTAATAACGACTGCGGATATAGCGACAATTCGCTCATAACGACTGCGGATATAGCGACAATTCGCTAATAACGACTGCGGATATAGGGACAATTCGCTAATAACGACTGCGGATATAGCGACAATTCGCTAATAACGACTGCGGATATAGCGACAATTCGCTAATAACGACTGCGGATATAGCGACAATTTGCTAATCACGACTGCGGATATAGCGACAATTCGCTAATAACGACTGCGGATATAGCGACAATTCGCTAATAACGACTGCGGATATAGCGACAATTCGCTAATAACGACTGCGGATATAACGACAATTCGCTAATAACGACTGCGGATATAGCGACAATTCGCTAATAACGACTGCGGATATAGCGACAATTCGCTAATAACGACTGCGGATATAGCGACAATTCGCTAATAACGACTGCGGATATAGCGACAATTCGCTAATAACGACTGCGGATATAGCGACAATTCGCTAATAACGACTGCGGATATAGCGACAATTCGCTAATAACGACTGCGGATATAGCGACAATTCGCTAATAACGACTGCGGATATAGCGACAATTCGCTAATAACGACTGCGGATATAGCGACAATTCGCTAATAACGACTGCGGATATAGGGACAATTCGCTAATAACGACTGCGGATATAGCGACAATTCGCTAATAACGACTGCGGATATAGCGACAATTCGCTAATAACGACTGCGGATATTGCGACAATTCGCTAATAACGACTGCGGATATAGCGACAATTCGCTAATAACGACTGCGGATATAGGGACAATTCGCTAATAACGACTGCGGATATAGCGACAATTCGCTAATAACGACTGCGGATATAGCGACAATTCGCTAATAACGACTGAGGATATAACGACAATTCGCTAATAACGACTGAGGATATAGCGACAATTCGCTAATAACGACTGCGGATATAGCGACAATTCGCTAATAACGACTGCGGATATAGCGACAATTCGCTAATAACGACTGCGGATATAGCGACAATTCGCTAATAACGACTGCGGATATAGCGACAATTCGCTAATAACGACTGCGGATATAGCGACAATTCGCTAATAACGACTGCGGATATAGCGACAATTCGCTAATAACGACTGCGGATATAGCGACAATTCGCTAATAACGACTGCGGATATAGCGACAATTCGCTAATTACGACTGCGGATATTGCGCCAATTGCTTGTAACGACTGTGGATATAGCGACAATTCGCTAATAACGACTGCGGATATAGCGACAATTCGCTAATAACGACTGCGGATATAGCGACAATTCGCGAATAATGACACATTTTTCTGATGCCCCGTCGGGTGTCGTTATGCGCAAAGTTGACTGTATTGGCTGCTTCTTGCAAACATTTGCTGGAGGCTCTGTGTGACGGGAATGGTCTTAGAGACTGCTTTTCCCATTCCCGTTGGCTATCCATTCTCATTTCGTTGTAATTATTTACACTCCTTCCGCATGTATGCATGCTCTGTATGGTGGTCTGTATCATGAACAGCTAGTACTCTGCACACTATTCTATCCACCTTTAGGAACACACTTCATTTGCCATCCAACTACACATCCTTATTCTACCTCTTACACCGTACTCTGAATACAGCAGGGAGTCGAATACGACTCCCTGCATTAATTTTATTCTGAAAATATGAAGCTGACCACGACGAGGGTTTCCCCTCAGTTCTTGGTTAGTCCAGAAGGAGTGAGTTTGATTTGTAGTGTCGATTGGAACTAGTATGCTTCCTGTTACACTCCGGCATCTGGACTTGCAAACAAACATTCTTCCTTTCCTCGAATGGCAGGGAGCAGCAAGTTGGAACGAAACCGCATAGTCACTTGACACCAGGGAGGACAGTGTAGTCATTTCACACCAGTGAGGACAGTGTAGTCATTTCACACCAGGGAGCAGTACAACACCGGTATTTACTACTCCCTTCTTCACACTGCACCATGCCACATGTGCATTTGCAGACAATGCACTAATGCACTCGTGTGCTCACAACAGGACTCTAAGTCTAACTCAGCTCCCCCCCCCCCTCCCCTTATGCTCCCGCTGCTGTTTTACGGCTTGCAAAGGTTCCAACAAACAATGGCTACATGTACAATTATGTTCAAGACCTACATACCGGTAATATACAGAAGCCTTGCTTGGTAGTTAACATGTTTTTCGATTTTGACAGCATGTTACAATACCGGTAATGTACAATCATGTATGAAGGACCTACCCGGTATGTGTACAAGTCCAGTCCATGCATCGACACATGCATTGAATGGACAGTGAACGCCGCTTTTCGCGGGTACTTTGCGATACTTTTATCTTGTGGGCGTTTTGCGGACACGGTACGACCACTAGCTGTTTTGCTTGTGAATTTTGCGATACGGCGTTACACGCCTGGGATGGGTTACTATGATAAACTTATAGAACATGAGCTCCAACATTTGACTCCACTATCTGTACTCTCTTTGTGTGTTTTCGTTGTTGCTTATACTTCTGCTGCTGCTGCTGCTGCTGCTGGTGGTGGTGCTGCTGATGCTGCTGGTGGTGGTGCTGCTGCTGCTGCTGCTGGTGGTGGTGGTGCTGCTGCTGCTGCTGTCGCTGTTGTTCTTGTGTGGCATCCCGCAGTGTCGCTTGGTGACCTACATCTTGGTTATTGGTCAAGATTTCTTCCAGCATCTCTGCAAGGTACACTTTTTACAAACGGGTTTCTCTGTGTGTGTTTGTGAAGGTGTGTACGTGCATGTGTGTTTGTGCATGTGTGTACGTGCATGTGTGTTTGTGCATGTGTGTACGTGCATGTGTGTTTGTGCATGGGTGTTTGTGCATGTGTGTTTGTGCATGTGTACGCGCGCCCAGCTCTGAAGATGCCTCACAGATGTGCAGTAGATGCATGCACAACTGCAGCCAACACCTTTACGCCCCACTTGCTAGGCTTCTTTGGAAAATAGTAGTAGAAGTAGTAGTTACAGGGAAAGTGGCTTTGTTCCTTCAGTCTGACCATACACCAGTCAGTGGCTTTGTTCCTTCAGTCTGACCATACACCAGTCAGTGGCTTTGTTCCTTCAGTCTGACCATGCACCAGTCAGTGGCTTTGTTCCTTCAGTCTGACCATACACCAGTCAGTGGCTTTGTTCCTTCAGTCTGACCATGCACCAGTCAGTGGCTTTGTTCCTTCAGTCTGACCATACACCAGTCAGTGGCTTTGTTCCTTCAGTCTGACCATACACCAGTCAGTGGCTTTGTTCCTTCAGTCTGACCATACACCAGTCAGTGGCTTTGTTCCTTCAGTCTGACCATATACCAGTCAGTGGCTTTGTTCCTTCAGTCTGACCATACACCAGTCAGTGGCTTTGTTCCTTCAGTCTGACCATACACCAGTCAGTGGCTTTGTTCCTTCAGTCTGACCATACACCAGTCAGTGGCTTTGTTCCTTCAGTCTGACCATACACCAGTCAGTGGCTTTGTTCCTTCAGTCTGACCATGCACCAGTCAGTGGCTTTGTTCCTTCAGTCTGACCATACACCAGTCAGTGGCTTTGTTCCTTCAGTCTGACCATACACCAGTCAGTGGCTTTGTTCCTTCAGTCTGACCGTACACCAGTCAGTGGCATTGTTCCTTCAGTCTGACCATACAACAGTCAGTGGCTTTGTTCCCTCAGTCTGACCATACACCAGTCAGTGGCATTGTTCCTTCAGTCTGACCATACACCAGTCAGTGGCTTGTACTTCTACAGTGGTTTGTACTGATGAGTGACCACACATTTCTATAGTGACTTGTAAGTCTATAGTGACTTGTACTTCTATAGTGACTTGTACTGCTATAGTGACTTGTAAGTCTATAGTGACTTGTACTGCTATAGTGACACGTTTGTGTGTACGTGTGTGTACGTTTGTGTGTGTACGTGTGTGTGTGTGTACGTGTGTGTGTACGTGTGTGTGTACGCGTGTGTGTGTGTGTGTGTGTGTGTGTGTGTGTTCGTGCGTGTATGCGTGTGTACGTGTGTGCACGTGTATACTGCAGATTTTCAGCCAGCTAGTAGCACATCACTGTATGGTAGACTGTCGCAAGATGACATCCACACTCAGTGTGCTGCTTTCTTGGCAAAGTGAGTCACTCGGCATACACTCATAATCACCACCTCGTATACTCATACAGTGACCTTGTGTGATTGTCACTCCGGTTGTAACTTGCAGCTAACAGGGTAGTGATCATAAGGTCCATTCTGATCATGGAGTCTATCAGCTTGTCCTCCCGTCAGTCTGAGCAGAGGGCATGATTCCCCCCCCCCCCCCCATGCATGTGAACTGCTAGTGTTGAATAGTAATGCTGTGTTTACTATGTGTTTGTGGTGAATTGTGTTTGCTGTGTGTTTGTGGTGGGTTGTGATTGCTGTGTGTTTGTGGTGGGTTGTGATTGCTGTGTTTTTGTGGTGGGTTGTGATTGCTGTGTGTTTGTGGTGGGTTGTGATTGCTGTGTGTTTGTGGTGGGTTGTGATTGCTGTGTGTTTTGTGGTGGGTTGTGATTGCTGTGTGTTTGTGGTGGGTTGTGATTGCTGTGTGTTTGTGGTGGGTTGTGATTGCTGTGTTTTTGTGGTGGGTTGTGATTGCTGTGTGTTTGTGGTGGGTTGTGATTGCTGTGTGTTTGTGGTGGGTTGTGATTGCTGTGTGTTTGTGGTGGGTTGTGATTGCTGTGTGTTTTGTGGTGGGTTGTGATTGCTGTGTGTTTTGTGGTGGGTTGTGATTGCTGTGTGTTTGTGGTGGGTTGTGATTGCTGTGTTTTTGTGGTGGGTTGTGTTTACTCTGTGTTTGTGGTGGGTTGTGATTGCTGTGTTTTTGTGGTGGGTTGTGATTGCTGTGTTTTTGTGGTGGGTTGTGATTGCTGTGTTTTTGTGGTGGGTTGTGATTGCTGTGTTTTTGTGGTGGGTTGTGATTGCTGTGTGTTTTGTGGTGGGTTGTGATTGCTGTGTGTTTGTTGTGGGTTGTGATTGCTGTGTGTTTGTGGTGGGTTGTGATTGCTGTGTTTTTGTGGTGGGTTGTGATTGCTGTGTGTTTGTGGTGGGTTGTGTTTACTCTGTGTTTGTGGTGGGTTGTGATTGCTGTGTTTTTGTGGTGGGTTGTGATTGCTGTGTTTTTGTGGTGGGTTGTGATTGCTGTGTGTTTTGTGATGGGTTGTGATTGCTGTGTGTTTTGTGGTGGGTTGTGATTGCTGTGTTTTTGTGGTGGGTTGTGATTGCGGTGTTTTTGTGGTGGGTTGTGTTTACTCTGTGTTTGTGGTGGGTTGTGATTGCTGTGTTTTTGTGGTGGGTTGTGATTGCTGTGTTTTTGTGGTGGGTTGTGATTGCTGTGTTTTTGTGGTGGGTTGTGATTGCTGTGTTTTTGTGGTGGGTTGTGATTGCTGTGTGTTTTGTGGTGGGTTGTGATTGCTGTGTGTTTGTGGTGGGTTGTGATTGCTGTGTGTTTGTGGTGGGTTGTGATTGCTGTGTTTTTGTGGTGGGTTGTGATTGCTGTGTGTTTTGTGGTGGGTTGTGATTGCTGTGTGTTTGGGGTGGGTTGTGATTGCTGTGTTTTTGTGGTGGGTTGTGATTGCTGTGTGTTTTGTGGTGGGTTGTGATTGCTGTGTGTTTGTGGTGGGTTGTGATTGCTGTGTGTTTGTGGTGGGTTGTGATTGCTGTGTGTTTGTGGTGGGTTGTGATGGCTGTGTGTTTGTGGTGGGTTGTGATTGCTGTGTGTTTGTGGTGGGTTGTGATTAGTGTTGAAACGATCTCACTGGATACTCGTTAGCTCGCTCGTCAGAAACTCGGCTCGTTTGTGCGGCCAGCTCGTTTGCACTAACGAACACCGTACACCGTACTCCGTACACATGGCAGTACATGTCGACTGGGGAGTCGTAAAATATTTTACGACTCCCTGGTCGATCTAGAGTCCAGTCCTGCGCAAAGTGAAAATCACTCGCAGTTACGGTGACTGTATGCCTGCACGACACTTGAGTTGTTTCAGTTGTCGTTGCAGCTTTGGTGGACCTACTGATGTCTTGTTCCGCATCTGCTGACCTGTCGCAGGATATGCTTCGGTCACCTCTCCATTCGAGTGAAAGTTATGCTCAGTCGTTTGGAAGTTTTCTCCCGCAATGCAGCGAAGACCAGGGCTACTTGCAATCTTTGCAAAACGGTCTATTCTTACAAAGGC